AATTTTTCTATCAAATGCTCTACCTGAGCTGAGAAAATTAGATAGTCTGTCCAGTCTTTTGAGGATTCAAACCTAACTGATTGAATTTTGCTATCAATTGCTCTACCGGGCTAAGCAGAAAAAAATTGTGGGTCGTCTCTTGTGAGGAGTCAAACCTCACTCTAGAGAATTTTGCCGTCATACGCTCTACTAGAGCTAAGCAGATCGACTCTTGTGAGGATTCAAACCTTCCTGTATTAAATTTCACTTTCAAATACCGTACCAGCCTAGTAGGAAAAGATAGTGAGTCGTTTCTTGTGAGGATTCAAACTTCATCCTATTGAATTTTGTTGTCAAAGTCTCTACCAGAACTAGGCAGAAATAAAATGTGGCCGTCTCTTATGAGGATTCAAACCTCACTCTATTGAAATTTGCTATCAATTACTCTACCAGAGCTAAGCAGAAATAAATAGTGTTTCCTATACCTTGTGGGAGAAGTTAGAGATTCAAAATACACGACTCGACGGAACAATCATCCACCGGTTTAAACTATTCCGAAAAATAGCCACACGAGTTTCTTGAACAGAGATGAGAGGTGTAGCATTAATGAAGATGCTATGGTCAAACCTGATATTTTTCACGAGAAACATATCAGGAAGAGCTTCAGAAAATCTTGGATCTCTTCAAAAAAAACCCTTTGAGCAGCAACTTAACTAACATGATAATCAAGCTCTCATCCTGAACGGTGCTGAACGATTGGCAGAAAGTTCCACTTAATTGTATCGATGTTATCAGGCTTCAAAACAGTAAGCGAAAGGAAAAAAAGGAACACGTCTTCATACCGAAAATTATGTTCCTAAAGTGATCCTACTTTCCCTATAACAATCTTATCCTTTCCACTGATTACCAACTCTGACTTGACTCTCTATGTATAGAGTTACTCGATATGGAGGTTTGCACGCGTTGATACAGACAAGGTATCATTTTTCCGCTTTCTATTTGTCGTAAACACCACGCAGCACTTGTGAATAGCAAATTAATAGTTGTACGATACAGAGAAGGCCATGAAGTGTGTTTCATGAGATGTTTGAAGATAGATTACTCGGTTCGAAGTCATTACTCGGATATCAACAAGCTTATCATGGAGGTGTGCACAAGTGCACTCCGTTGAGAGCGCTTACCTCGTTTAACACTTTAACTCCCATGAGTGAGCAAGACAGAATTTCTCCTTACAATATCAATACAATGTCAACCAGATACGTAATGAGAATAAAGAAAATATCATTTTGGGGATGATAAGTTGATCCAATATTAAACTTTCTGAACTAACACTAAAAGAATTGTATCGTTGACAGTAAGGAGAATTACAAACTTGATCGGGGAGTTAAAGGGTTAAAACTGTGAATCTCCTTTCCATTTGCACAATGGATCAATTGGAAGAACAACAAAAATAGTATAACTATAAGGAGATCTCTCCTGAGACGAGAAACTCAAGTACATGAAAAACTAGTCAGTCGTGAATTAAATCAAACACAC